AAGAATCCGTCATGCTGTAATTCTGCATTCATCAAGAACGTTTTGGAACAAAGTCAAACTTATTGTAATATTTCTGCTCCATTTTAGCATTACCATGTATTATGAGCCACATTCCAGCCTTCTTTAATAATGCAAATTATCAAGTGAGATACGAAGAGGAAAAATACAAGTTATTTAACACTCCTTCCCCTATGGGACACCTTTAAACTCATGCAAAACTGCACACACACAAAGCACAAGCTGTATACATTTCTGAATTCCAGCAAACCTGTTTCTAAGTTCAAAATATGTGACCCTGAGCTGCCTTTTCATAAAGCCTCACTGGGAAGTTCTAATTGTGCTTTGAGTTCACAGATGTGGCTAAGCCACTTCTCATTAAACTTTCTAGAATTCCATGAACCCTTTGACATGTATTTTCACATGTAAATATAAACACTGTCGAGCTTGTGAAACTTTGGTTCATTCTCCTCCAGAGAACAAGGATCAACCAACCACAAAAGGAAGCAGCCAGTTGTTTTTGTTTAATAACGTACAAGCTCAATCCCATACAAACTGTTGGGCTGCTGTAAGAACCAGTAACTTTGGCTGTTTCACTCAGCAGAAAAACATCAGGACTTCACTATTAATGCCACATTTTTAGATAATAAGGGTCAAGGAAGAGGATGCAGTGATCAAAAAAATCCCAAGGAAGTGTTTGAGTATCTTTTTATTGAAAGACAACAAACACAAGTGAGCCATTAATAGTGGCAAAGATGAGGAGGGAAGAAGCTGGGGGGAGGGTAGAGGGGATTTCAATCAGCCTTTTCATGTTTTATTCATTCTTAAGTAAGAAAGCCTTTCCCTCTGGCCAGGTTTTGCTTTACTAACATAACCAGACAACAGGCATTGCATACACCCACTGTCAGATTGCTGCCTTGATTATTATTTCAGTTGTGACACGTGGACAGCCAACCCAAGAACTAATAAAGTGGAATTTTCTGTCTGCAGGTAGACAAAGCAGCTGCTGCAAGCCAGAGATATTCAATCTGTGGCCCACCTGGAAAATTCATCCTATTTGCAATCTACTTCTACCAGCTTTTGACCACTAAGAAGTTCCCTGTTGAGCCACATGATGATAATGGAATATTGAGTGCACTGAATTTATGGAAAAGGTCCAGCCATGCTGTCAGGTCCCTTCTTGCTTTTAAAAAACGTGACATGCTCTGACTCCACCACAATGCTGGAACTATTTCCAAACTGAGCATCTGCAGTAAATGCTGATTTGTAGCATGAATCTTTATTAAATATTAATTAAACTCTAATACAGGAAGGCTTAGTAAGCAGAAAAGCACAGCTTTCAAAGTTGTCAGTGAAATGTAACAAGCATCTTTTAGAGCACAGAGAAGTGTGTGCTATGAAATGTTAATTATTGCTCTTCTGTCAGGTGGTTGGCAGAGATTATTGCTAAGGACTACAAATCACCAGAGACAATTTCCAGATTTATCCAACACCAAGAGCTCCAAGATAACCTGCAAAGTCCAGCATGTATCAGGAAGTCATACAGACACAGCTGTCCAGAATCACTGTGGCTTTTTCAGTTCTTTATCTACATCAGGACAATCCAGCCTTATCATCCACAGGCCCTTCCTTTTGGCAGCAGTCTCCTCACCAGTCACTCGAAGTTTGCTGCCTGCTTCCTAAGTGAACAACCACGTGAAGGGGTGGAAACATCTTGGCTTTGGCTTTTTGGTAGGTCAGAACAAAATACTTCAGGCAGAACAGAATACTTCACAGGCTGGGAGACTAAAGCAGTGATTTAACAGATGAGGACGTGAACTCAGCTCTTTTACTTACAGTCAGCAACAGTCCTTAAAAATGACTTGCATAAATATTTGTGCAATTAATCCAACCTTAAAATCCATTCAGAACTTTTAACTTACACAGTCCAGTAAACATTTCCAGTGAAAAGAAGGGCTGCACGATCAAACCTCTGTCACATTTACAAGCACAGTTTGGACTCGGATATCCTGTCGGATTAGTTTTAATCTACATCTTTTTCCACTTACTTCAACATCAAAACAGCCGGTTCTATTAATTTGTTTGCTTGTTTTCTTCCTGTACCTGTCACTGTGATCTGCACTTACTGAACAATTATCCTTTTTTATTTGTTTTTTTACTCTTGGCCAGAAAGAGCAAGTTTTCCAGAACACATGTATTTAAGGTTTATATCAGTATACCCATAAAAGTGAGTTTGATAACCTGTCATTTACACGGAAGATAACATTGAAGATGCAAATATTGATTTTTTAAAAAGTAGGTTTTTTCATGACCATGCTCTCTGTGTACTCTCTCACTCCCACCACACTCTCTGGGGTATATATCTGAAATTTCACGCATACCATAAAGTATCCTTGGAATGTTACAGTATAATTGTTTAGAGAAACATTTAATGGATGAGTAAGCATCAAGAGGCCAGGGCTAAGGGAAAAGTTAAAATGCTGGCAGCATTTTGTACTGAAAGATCTTCTCAGCGTGAGGACTGGGGGTGGACATTTGATCCAAAAATCTGGTATTGATTCAAGCAGTTTAAACCCAGCATCCAGCACAGAGGTGTCTGGAGGCACCTCCCTGAACATCTGCCTCCAAACACAGCTCCCAAACCTGGCTTTGGGCACTGCCCAGCACAGCAATCCAGAGCCACAGGATATTATCTGATCAATAACATAAACATCATGATAAGAGATGACATGATCTTGACAATTGGCACTTTATCCTTTCTGAATTGGTCGTCTGGTTTCCCAATTTCCAGCAGAAATAATCTGGATGTGCATGGTGTGGAAATGCAGCAGAAGTGGCTGGAAAGAGCTGAACACTGAGTGCAGAAACAGCTAAAAAAAGCTAAACATGTTTTCACTACAGGAATCTGCTGCAGACAATGTGCTGAAAATTAAAGCAAATTTTCCTGAATTCTCTGAAGGACTGCTCCTCTTGGAGATTCTACAAATCCATTACCACAGGTCCATCATTCTAGTTTTTAGGGGTTTGTGTACCGAAAAGAGTTTAAAAAAAATACACACAAAATAGAGCATATGATACATCAGGGTAAAGGAGTGATAATTGATAACTGAGTATTAGAGTACAGCTGAGAAGGCTTTTACCCCCAATTCTTCCTCTGCCCCATACTGTTTTAAGTAAGTAAAAGCAAAATATTTATCACTCTACCTGAATTTCTAATCAGAAGATTACAAAAGCAGAAGTGCCACATGCTCACACAAACTTTTAGCTCTGAAGCTGGAAAAGCCAAGCTGCCCCAGGTTTGTGTCACAGCTGAAGATTGTCTGATAACTAAAATCACCTAAAATCTCCCTTCAAAGGGATTCTGTGGTGCTTAACAACATATAACTTGTAGCTGGTGCAGCATGATTTCTCCAAAGCTTCAGACACTCACAGGATTCTCAGAAGTCTATTGTCTTTGAGGAACTTCTGTTTCTGCATTAAACTTAGTGGAGAACAGGTAGCACGTTAAAATATGAGGAACACAGAAATAGCGTGACTCTATAAAGCTCATCCTGTTAATCTCATGGGTAAGTAGCACAAGTTCTGCTAGTTCCAAACCCAATGGATGATCCAAAATTGCTAATCTACCTGTAAATTGTGTGACTCTAAATTATATGTAAAAATAATGTGTTTATTAAGGCTTTAAGAGGTATTTGTAGCATGTAAGATTGCAAGGGACTTCCCAGGTCATCATATTTGCATCCTACTGTTGGAAACACAATATTAAATAATCTCTTTCAGAGCACACTGATTCCCACCTTATTTAAAATGAGGGGGTTTTTTTTGCATAATCTCAAAACTGAGATATTTGGTTTTATTTTCCACTTAATTCATCAAAGAACCAGTGGCCATTTAAATGAAAAACTTCAGATTATGTAGGACAAGCTTCTACATCCTCATCCTCAAGCTTTTCTTTCTTTTCACCAGCACAGTGATCCAGATGCTGTTGTCAGATAAATACATTGGTTTAAATCTGTATTTATTCTAATGCCACACTCACAGACAAATCCAGATATTCCTTGGGTAACTTTTCCTGTAATTTCCCTTGGTGAATTACAGGGAGCTGAAATACCACTGGTGATTTTAAAACAAGGTCTGTAGATCACTCCTCATGTTACAATGACCATTGCAGGGCCTGTTAGTGTTTTTTTGGAGTTAGGGGAACACAACACAATTTATAATGAAGTCTAGCAAATAAGGATATGTTAATCTTTTCAACCACTTAAATCCAGGGAAATCAAAACCAAATGTCTCTCTAACACAGCATCCCAAAACCCAAGCCCAAATACTTGGATCCTAAAGCCTGCTGGGATGTTTTCTGCAAACCATCCATTAGATTTCTTATATTCTGTACAACATTCCTCCACAAGCTGGATTGATTTCTTCCACAGCTTAACTTGTTTTTGCCAAAGTCTCTTTTAGTCTCTATTTTAGTTCAGCATTGGCCTCCTGCCTAATGAAACAAGCATTCTTTATGCCAAAACTGTCATCTTCAGTTGCACAAGATGCATCTCATTTACAAACAATGTATAATGAGCCTGATGTTTAGTGCCTGAAGAACTGCTGCTTTAAAATGATCCTAAACCAGGAATGGTTAGTACCTTGGGTGGGAGAAGAATCATTCTCAAGGAAGATTTTTTTTTCTTTTGTATTCAAATCCACTTTTTGAAAATAAAAGCATAATTTTAGAACATGAAAGCATATGTAGTTAATACAGACAGCAGTGAGACATGCAGGGATCACTCCCAACCTGAAAGCTTCATTCTCACACAATTTCATTGTTCTGTAATGATCACATGCACCATCACCTTGGCTTCTCTTGAACAAACTATGTTTAAATATGAGAACCTGATAACCTCAATAAACTATCAAGTATTGCTTATGACTGAAAAAAAAATCCATCTAAACAAACCTCTTACTCTATTTCCCTGCTGTAATTTCACACACAGCTGAAACAAAGATACCTGTGTAAGAAGTTGCTCCTGGCTTAGGTTATTGATCCAGCGAGTGTATCGTTCAGTAGAGTCCAGTGGCTCTCTTCTGATTTGGCAACCAATAATCTAAAGCAAAATGACAGAAATCCCCTAGGTTAAACTGCTGGACACACATGTGGCAGCAAAACAGTATCACAGAATAAACACTCAAAACATGGCAACTCCAAGAATTAAGATTATCTATACAGTCCTCACTAGCCCCCTTCATAAGGGAGCTAGTACCTTACTGTTCATAAGGTAATATGGTACAGTTGCTCTGTTCAAATGTTAAATAGGTACAGACTTTAAAGGTCTCTAGAAAACACTGAGGAGTATCTTTCCAATAACCTCATTCTTGGGAATATTTGAACCATTTTGGTTGAAATTTTTAAAGGAAATTTTCCATAGGCAGACATTTAGAATGCAAAATTTCAACCAAAAGTTACTCCAGCAAATGAAAATTGGAACTTGAGTAACACCAGACAATCCAACAGTCCCATAACCTGTAATACCCCCATTACTTTTAATTAATATAAGCAAAGTCCCCTGCATATTCTGATTTGTTTTGTTCATGGAAGAACAATATAGATACATCATTTTAATTTGGTCACTGAATCACTGTACACCCATTTGAGTAAGATCTCCTTATCTAATACTGTTCTGTAGCTGTATGGGTTCAATATGAATTTTAATATTATTATTCCAGTAGGTGTTGAGAAAGCTTCCAATATGTATCAGAGAGTATCAGCAGGATTAGATATTACCTGTATCTGCAGAGACACACATTAATGCAATTTCATAGGAACACTAAACTGTTTACAAATCTCTGATCAGACAAGGAAAAAGCTGAGGAGAACCCCAGGAGTGTGACTGGACAGAACTCTGCTGTTTGCTCCTCCCAAAGTCTGCAGTCTACACAAAACCTTCAGGGTACCAAGGACTTAATTATTTATGCAAAGTAAGCTGATCCTGTTTTATACCAACTACTGCACTGCCACCATACTGTAACTCTCCATTTCTCCTCCTGGTTTTGATGGTGCTTCCCACTGAGGATGTGTTTGTCCACTGAGAACTAACACCACAGGGTTTTAATGTTTCTGAACACTAATTTCTGATAATCAGGTTCTGTTCAAGAACAGGTGGGAAACTTCCTTGGTTTATTTTCCACCCTAAGCATTCATAAATCTTCCAGGTATGTTTGCAGAGCTTTAAACTGCAGAGAGATGTGAGCAGTCAGGCCAGAGCTCTGCATGTGCAGTTGTGAATACTTTTGATGTGGGAACAAAAACAACATGAGAAGATCTTGCTGGGGACTGCTGGCAATGAAACATCATAATTTAGAGTATGATTGAATACAATCAAAACAACAAGCATGGAGAAAAAGAAAATGTTATTTGCTTATCCCATAAGAATAAACCAGAATTTCTCTGAACTAGGAAATGTTTCCTCAATGACAACAACAAATTACTGTGGAGAACTTCAATCCTCACCCCAACTTAACCCTCATATTACAGCTAAGTCACACTAAGATATTTTCAGAAGGTTAACCTAAAATTTTTTTAAACTGAGTATCAAGTAGAAGAGCTCTTAGAGATGTTTTTACAGCACATCATAGAGATAAAAACATGCAAAAGTCATGTCAGATGCATGTCTATACTGTGCTGCAAGGATGATTTTTATTTAAAAATAGAACTCTTTCCAGTATTCAATAATCAAGCCTTCATTAGCCTTCTCTTGCATATCCTAGGTTTTTTTAACTTACAAAGATACTTTACAACTCTCTGCATAAAAGCTAAAAGGGAAAAATTACCTTTATTTTCTATGTCAAGCTATTCTATAACAGCACAAGATGGAAACTTAATTTCTTTTTTATTTAAAGAGTCACATTGAAGCTAAATAGATACAGAATATATACAGCTTTCAGAAGGAAAGAGATTAAAAAGGAGAGTTTCAAACTTTTTTTCTGAAAACCTGGTTTTCATTTAGAGCCAAGTAGGAAGTGCAGTCATCTCTTTCCTGGCAGCTTGAAATTTAAATTACAAGCAGAGGACTGAGTTTCATATTTTTATATTAATTTCTGAGCAGACTGATAATTTCATAAATGCTGTTGGTAATTTAAACAAACTAAAGTAAATGTTGAATCCAGGTGCTCAGCTGAAGGACTGTAATTCCCTGAAGTCCAAAGAACAACTGGTTCAAATCCCAACTCCTCACACTTGAAGAGAAAACTGAACAGGTTTCATCAATTATCTGTACACACACAAGGAGATGTGAAGGCAGACAGAAGAAGTGCTATTAAATTGGATCCTGACATGTCTCTTCTGGATTATGCATCACTGTTTGCAATTTCTTGAGTTTGACTTCAAGTCTTAGCCAAAATTCCCTCCTTTTTCCATCTAACCCCACAGATAATTCCATTGCATGCTCCAATTTATTTCTTGGAATTTTGGCTCATAACACTGGTCTTTGAGCCTTTTGGAATTGAAAAAAAATGATGAAAAAATCCTCATCAAATAAAGTCATTATTTAGGAATTACTGGTATTTCAGTGAGAAAAAGCAATGGGTTACATTGAATTTAGCCATAATTTGGAGCAAATCTTTGGAAATGTAATTTTGCAACACAACAGGAACAAAGTTAATGTGCTGCAGGAAATGCTGTTTGCTTTCCCCTCTGCCCTAAGAGCTGCTTTATTTTCATTTTCAGAACCAGCACCACTCAAGGCCACTTTTATCATCATTTAAGAAATTTGTTTTACAGACAAATGTGAAAATTGCCACGATGCAATCACGTTTATTTCTAGATCCTCAGCCAAACAAATCCCACACCTTTCTGTACTTTAGCTGCACCATTCCCCTCCCAATGGGACTCTGACACGTGAATGGGATTTTTGACTTGTGGCTGCAAGATAAACACCACCAAGCTGAGCCTTTGATTCAGCATCTGGAAAGCCCAGCTCATGTAACCAGCTTCTTTCATACAATGAAAATCAGATTATTTAGAGTACAAACAGCTTCCTCCAGCTCCCCTGTGTAAGGTGTGGCAGCACAAGCAACTGCACACTGATTCCATTTCCTCCATGGCTCACAGAGGTTTTATATTCATTTCACTGAATATTTCCTTACAGCTTTCAAATTGAAGTGAAAAGTTTTTCACTGTTGCTTCTCTCATAACATTTAAAATACTTTGATAAAAAAACTCTCTGGCCTATATTACACCCATTCAGATATTCCAGAAAGTAGTAGAAACTCTGCATTAGAAATATTCTTTTCAGTATTTTGAGTATCTGTTTTGTGCAAAAATAGAGTTCATCCAAGTTTCAACTTTTTGATCTTATTAGACAAGTTTGTTTTAATTTTTACAAATGCTGTAGAGTGGTATATACCTGTATCTGGATTAAACTATGCAATATATACAATATATGCAATAGGCTTCTTACTCCAACTGGAAACCTGCTGAAATGTAGGATTAATATTCCTTGTGTAGGAAGCAGTAACATGAACAACACATAAAAGAAATTTCTGGCTCATAGCAAAGGACTATGCCAGTCCAGGAAAAAGTAAAACTCTTATCAGGAGAGAAAATCATAACAATCCTTTCTGCTACAACAGCAATGAGGTAATTTGCTTTCTAGACAGACAATTACTTTTTTTAATGTATTAAAGGTAACTTAGAGCTCATTTAGCTTTTTATTTAATTGCAACCAGCATTGGTGCCTCTGGAAAAAATAGAGAAGAATTTATCCTTTATTGCAGCAAGAAACAGTAATAGGAAGAACAGTAAGAGCACAAAATAAGGGGTCTATGTTAAGTACCAACAAACACCAAAATACACTGGAAGGCAACACAAGTAAATTTTAAAAATAAAAATGGCTTAATATGAGCTGTGTGGGAAGAAGTGGCCAAATACAGAACCAGTTTGTGGCCCTACAGTGCTGCCTGGCTTCATCAAAAGCCTCCAGTCCTGACAAGACAGTCTCAGGTCAAAATAACATTATAGGTCTGCATTTAGGCACCCAAATCTCTCTTCTCTAATAACTCTGCCACATCACACAATTAGCAGTGGAGTTCATGAATTGCAGCTAAATAACGTAAGAGATGTTTCTTATTTTCATCATTTTAGGGGTTTATGCTGTCCCTTGCACATTTAAATGGAAAAGGAAGCGGGTGAGAGGAAACAAAGTTGAAATGAGTTGGCAATAATTAAAACCAATGCATTTTCTGCAGATGTGGTGTTTTTGAGTTTTTTAATCACTACAACTTCCTTTACCACAAACAATCTTCCTTATTCAGGAGGCAGCCCATGGGTCAGAACACACCCGTTGTACTGAAGAGGAAATGAGGATGAAAAAATAATTGGTCTTCAATTTTATCCCAATATTTTCCATCCTCATTTAAAAAAAGAGGAAATGAACAGACAGGCAAAAGCACAAACTCTCCACAGGGAAGTAGCACTGGATGTACAAACAAGATTATATTCTTCATATAATGTATCTCCTCTTAAGGAACATTATTATTGAAACTGGTATTGGAAAAATATGCATTTTAGCATGAAAAAATCCATGGCTTTTCTGTACAAAATAAATGCAACTTTCAAAGGTACAAAACAAACAAAGTACAAAACTTCATTCTACACTCTGAGGAAGAGTGTACAGCGTTGTATTTCATTTTAGAAATATGACAGAATGATGTAAACCTCCTTGAAGGGAATATAATTAAGTACTTAGTGATGCTTTAATTAGAAAAATCATAACATCTGAAATAACAAGTAAAATAGAGAGGATTATCTCTAGGGCATGACACCTTTTTCCCCAATATGCCTCTTGGTGAGAGCCCACAGATGGAAAAATCCTAAAATAAAAGGCTAATAAGGGTTATTTACCTTATCCTGAATGTTTAAGAGCAGCTTTAGTTAATCAAGCCCACATCTTTTGTGTTAAGGAAAGGTAGATGTCACCTCTGCTGTCTCCAAACCCTATTTCAATTATTTTTATTGTAGTAATTTTATGCAGTAATTTCCTTTAAGCAAGATTTCATGATCACCATTTAATGCAATTAAAAAGAAAAATAAACTAAGGAAAAATAAAGA